GGTCAAGTGGTGGAACGACACTTGGCTCCAGGCAGGTCTCCCTCATGCATGAGTAACATGAAGAACTTTGCCTACTTCGTGTCTTGCTTTGCTGTGTAATTATATTGTCTTCAACGTTCCAGCGAATAGGTTCAAGCTACAAACCTATCAGTTTTCTATACGAGATGACTGTAAAAAGTGCAGCCATGACTAATGTCCACCTACTGTTACTCATTTTATATTAAGATTTAAAAATCTAGTTTCTATTGGTATGGCGATTAACCTTCAGTAATAAATCACACAGCAATAGTACATTCATGTAGTTGTAAAAAAGCATGGTAATATATTAAGTAATCCAAAGTATTCAGAATACGTTACTCTCATTGAGTAACGCAACGGAATACGTTACAAAATACGTTTTGGGGTATGTATTCTGTAATCTGTAGTGGAATACATTTTAAAAGTAACCTTCCCAACACTGAGGAGGAAAGATAGTAAAGATAGAAGTTAGTAAAGATACTGGAGAAACAACTTTACTATTCGTCAATCTCAGAAGAATTATAAGGCATGTATACATTTTAAAGCAAGCAAGCAATTTGAAATTCATGAATCTATAGTGGGAAACATTCAAGACAAGTGCCAATTTTCCCAGGATTACAGAAGTTGCCAAAAACTGAAGAGTTACATTTCAGACTCTACAGGCCTTAGTTACCATGTTCAATGTTAAAGTTGATGACAGTATAAATAGAAAAATACTGAACAAGTATGGTTTTGCTGGGAAGGGTTGCCAGACAAATGTCTCAGTTCTCTAATAAAATATGGTAGCAAGATTTGCAAATACATCTGAAAAAAACACAAGATTCCTTGAAGTATAATCTTTTCAAAGATGAGACCAAAGTGGAGAATATTTGGCAAAAACAAAATAAATTATATCAGCACAAACACCTCATACCAACTGTCATGCAAGGTGGTAGAGGGGTAATGATTTGTGCTCGTTTTGCAGTCACAGGACCTGGGCACCTTGCAGTCATTGAGTTGACCATTAACTCCTCTATATACCAAAGTATTCTAGAATCAAATATGAGACCATTTATCCAACAATTAAAATTGGCCAAATTGGATCATGCAAGAGAGCAGTGATCCCAACCACACCAGCAAAGCTACAAGAGAATGAGTGAAAAATACAAATAAAAAAATCTAGGTATATCAGTCACTCTTTTTTTCTTTGGCTCTCGGAGGAGGCGGACGCACTTTTTCTCCTCTCCCTTATCTTCCCTGCTAGTTCTTATGTCCTTGTCTAGTCTCTAGTGTCTTTTTTGTATTACTTTCCCTGGAACACCCTCTCACAGTCTGTGTCTAAAACCTAAAAGAGAATTATGGATTTGATCAACTGGTCTCTGAATGCTATTGACACCCTTTAACGAGACGTCTGGGCTCGGGAGAACCCGAGTGCCCTGGAGGGACTTTCCCTGCCGGATACACGATGGACGGGTGGCAAAAGGATCGTGTGCCTGGCGGGACTGTCAATCGAGGACGCTGAAGATATCTACCTATTCGGAACCATGATAACAGGGTTCTTGCTGATCGGAGCTGGCTTGGCCCTGGCTTATCGGAGAATTAAGAGAGTGGAACCGGCTGTTCAAACCCCCACAAGGCTGCCCGCTGGGATTGGAACGACAGGTGCAACTTCTCAGAAAGGGCTCACTGAAGGCAGCATGGTTAAGAGCTTGGAGGCGCTTACGGCTGCAGTGAATGCTCAGAATAACACCTTTGAGCGTATGTATGTTGGATTACATCAGGAAAGAATCAACTCAGAACAACATCTCTGGGCGGAAGCTACATCTCGGATCAGTTGGCTGAGGTCGTGAGGTCTCAGAATCTGCTATGTGAGCAAAAAAGAGCAACAAGACCACAGAATCGACGGCTAATAACATCACGGAGAAACTCGCAGCTATTAACGGGAGATTGAGAGACCAGTGTCGGAGTGTTAAAAACAGCGTGAAATTCTCATGAGTTGTTTGCAAAAGAAAAATTACCATCATAATGCAGCTACCCCTTCGGCGCCAGCTGTGGGCTCAAGGCTGGAGCCGAACAAAAACTCCCTGATAACGACTGTGTTGAGTCTGTTCCTTCCCATTCCTACAAGGCCACCTGGGTTGGCTGGAAGACTGTTTACTTAGCCTGGTGGGTGAAGGACACTGTCTCAGCTGAACTATGGACACGCACACACATACATATACTGATACTGATAAGCACTCACTGACGCATCACCCTCCTTATCCAACGCCACCTCCAACGCTTACCTCCCCCATGATGTGGACATCGGGTCAGCTGGAGGCGCAGTCGAAAGATTGCAGCGGTCCCAGATCAGATGTACACACTGGAACACTTTCCCATGTTGCTTGTCTGTGTTTATTGTGTTATGGTGTGTTGATACCTGTGCATTCCTGTATTATCCTTTTGTGTTACACATTTCAATGTTTTTTTCCTCGCTACCTAGCCTGACCTGTCTCCCCAATGTGATGTTGGTATTGTATGTACGGTCGGCAAGGTCTGTCATCTCGGTTGTGGGCAAAAGACCTGCAACTGACAAATAAAGGCTATCTCTCTCTCTCTCTCTCACTCAGTCAAAATTCAGCCCTTTCTAACTGAGAAGCTGTGGTAGGAGTCGTGCATAAACAAATGCCCAAAACCTCACTGAACTGAAGCAGTATTGCAAAAATAGTGGGTCAAAAAATTCTCCATAATGATGCAGGAAACTGAGAGTCATAGAAGAAATGACTAAGTTAATTTATTGCTGCCAAAAGGGGTTTTACAAACTACTGAATCATGGAGTGTATTCCAGGTTTCATACACTGCTCCTGCATTTGGACATAGCTATTTCATTAACTAATTAATTACATATAATAGGTTGTGTGTGTGTGTGTGTCGGGGGGGGGCATTTCAGGTTGTAATTTAATGGTGTTAGATCTAGTAAGATCCAGATGATTTTTTGGTCATCTCCTGTTATGTAAAACCTTAGAAAGCGGGTGAACTTTTTCACATGCTTGTACTAGCAATGTAATGCAGAAATGCATAACTAAAAACAACATACTCAACCAGTACATCATCTGTAATTGTATAGAAAGCTAAAATAGTTTCACAGGTTCATCATCAAGGCCCACGTTTCTACCTTCAAAAGTTGTGGTATCTGTTTACTAAAAATATTTTAGTGTAATTTGTTGAATGCTGCCTGATCTGGATACATCAGTAAGGTTATTTGAGATAAAATGCAAGCAGTTTGAAGTATGTCATTTTTGAAAACAAAGATGTAAAACAGTTTTGTTCTTTTCTTTTCTGAATGCTGAGGATGGTTACAGTGCCCCTTATTTGAATTCAGAAGAGCAGTACTCATCATATTATCACATATAGCCTGAGAAAGTATGAAACCAAGTAAATAATTACCATCCATCATAAGCCCAAAGCCCATTATAAAATGCAAGTCCAATTGCTCCAAAAGATGTTGCAGTGCCATCAAAAGCATTTGAAAAATTCTCTGTTTTTCCTAGACACAAATACATAATATACAATAATGTTAGTAGTTAAAGGTTGGTTAACATTTATTAACACAAACATTTAAAGACAGAGTTGTATGTAAAGAGATATAAGAAGACTGACCTTGTGCCAACAGAACGATTCCAGCTCCAACTATGACAAGAATGATTACAAGTTTGGCTGCAGTAAAAAAGTTCTGCACATAACTTGCCAGTTTGACACTTAAACAGTTGATGGATGTGATGATCACTGCAAAAAAAAAGAAAATGTAATCATATATTTTCCCACCTATACATTTATAAGTAAACACATTTTTCGAAGAAGACTTGGTATTAGGGGGTTAGTTTATCTGATAATTCTAAATTGCCCAAAGGTGTGAATGTGAGTGCGAATGCACGTAGAGCAAGCAGCGGCAACTGTAGAGACTTCAGGACCATACTGAGTATTGACATAGGTGTTGGAGAGGTTGTTGAGGGTCACTTTGGCGCTGCCCAATCATCCACTGGCGGCGACGATATACTGGATGGGAGAGGGTGATGACCCTCGGGTCTTCCTGGATGCCTTCCAAGCCACGCTGGAGGCGTAACAGTGGCCTCCTGCAGAGTGAGCATCGTGGCTACTGCCGCCGCTCTCTGGAAAGGCTCAAATGAGCCTGCCGCTGGCCTCACAATAGAGCTTCAACGACATCTGCTGGGCCATCATGGATAACTTGGGCCTCTCCCCGGAAGACCATCATGAACGGTTTTGGGACAGTCAGATGACGGCAGTGGACCAACTGTTTATGTGGTCCTGGAAACTGCATGACACAGCAGTGAGGTGGCTGCAGCCCAGGCCGTCAGAGGGAAACCACCATGAACTGGTGGTTCTGCAGCAGTTAATTGAAGGGCTGCCCAGGGAAATGGCATGATGGGTCTGCTCCCATCGGTCATCAAGCTTGGAAGCTGCGGTCACACTTGCGGAGGACCACCTGGCTGCGCAGACCAAGGGAGCAGAGAGCCACAGCCAGCCAGCTACCAGGCCACAGCTAATGCAAGCACTGAGACAGAGGCTCCCCGACCCCTCCCCAGTAGAGCGGTCACTGATGCTTCACGCAACAAACCATTTTTTACCTGGTCTGCTTGCCCAGGCCCTGGAGTGCTGGAAGGAGTGCGCTCGGGATCTGAAACGGGAGTGTCTGTTGAGGTGTTTCGCATACCTGGGGCTCCAAACCCCTCCCCTGGTCAAAGAGGGACATACAGCATTCCAGTAAGGTGTCAAGGGGGTATACACCAGGTTTTGGTGGACATGGATAGTACACAGACCCTGGTCCACTAAACCCTGGTGGCGAATCCACTCTGCCTTCAATAATGCCCCATGGCGAATGGGCTATTAGTGAAGGCGGAGTGGATGAGGTGAACTGTGGTCATGGGGATCTTCGCAAGTTTCCCATTGTACCGCTGCATATAAAGTTTAAAGGAAAAATGCATACAGTGAAGGCTGCAGATTACTCATGCCTGTCGCATCCCCTATTTCTGGGAACAATTTGCCAGGGATGCAATACGAATGGCTATCCGGTGGATGGTCTACTCTGGGTATTACCTCCTGGAATGCTTATCTGTTTCAGGTCATCTCCTGAGTCGGGATCACCAAAGATTACTGACTGATCAGGGCACATCATTCATGTCTCACACACTTACGGAGTTGTAGGAATTGTTGAATCATTAAATCTGTTCAGACCTGCGTCTACCACCCTCAAACTAACGGGTTGGTGGAGTAACTGAATAAGACTTTAAATTCCATGATTCGCAAGTTCATTCACGAGGATGAATGCAATTGGGGTCACTGGTTAGACCCTTTGTTATTTGCAGTGAGGAAGGCTCCCCAGAGCTCCACAGGACTTTCAGCCTTTGAGCTACTCCTCGGCAGAAAGCCACGGGGGATGTTGCACCTGATTAAAGAAAACTGATAGAAAGGTCCAAACCAAAAATGAGATTCAATGCATCCTGGACCCGAGAGCAAAGCTGCACACTTTGAGGAGGTTATCAGGGGAAAATATACTCCAGATCCGGTAACGTCAACACCGCTGACTCAGGCAATTTTCATCAGGAGACAAAGTGCTTGTATTACTTCCTTCTTTAAGCTTAACGTTACTCACCAAGTGACAAGGACACGATGATTACGGGACATTAACTGTGAGGTGGTGCGGTCGGGGAAGAGCCACACAAATATGTCACCTCAACATTGTGAAAGCATGAAGAGAGGTGGAAACCGACTTTCTGGTGAGCCTGGTTAAGAAAAGGCTCAGATGTTGCTGCTAGCAACATCAGTTTGCAGATGTGTTTTCCCCCTGTCCGGCTGTATGAACCTCTCATAGAGCACCATTTTGAAACTCAGCCTGGTGTGACGGTGCGTTCACAGCCATACAGTTTACCTGAACATAAAACACACCTGAACATAAAAATGGGGATAATAGAAGAGTCACACACTACGTGGTGTAGCCCCATAGTTCTTGTGGTGAAAAAAGATGGGTCTGTATTGTACTGCAAAGTGAATGAAGTGTCATGATGTGATGCCTACCCCATGCCCCAGGACAACAAGGCTCTGGACCAGTCAGGCACAGCTGAATTTTTCATGCCACTGGATTTAACCAAGGGCTACTGGCAAATTCCCTTGTCTGCAGAGTCCAAGAAAAAAAATGGCCTTCTCCAATCCGTAAGGGTTGTACCAATTCGTAACACTTCTGTTTGACTTGTTCAGTGCCCCAGCCACCTTCCAGTGCCTCATGGACCAGGTGCTGCGTCCATCCTGCCATCCATAGTCATATTTGTGCATGTGCAATGGGTGGCTGGGATCCTGGAGTCCCTGAGGCAGCTGGGCTCACATCCAACCTGAAGAAGTGTGCAGTTGAACAGAGGGAGGTCCAGTATTTGAGGTACCACTTTGGGGGCAGACAGGTACACCCAAAGATGGAGAAAACAGCATCCATCACAGCCTGCCCGTGTCCCAAGACCAAGAAGGAGGTGAGGCGGTACTTGGGGCTGGCCGTGTACTACCACAAGTTCATGCCCGGAAGGGTGAACCAGATCTGGTCCAGTGGATGGAGTGGTGTCAGGCGGCATTTGTGTAGGTGAAGAAGCTCTTCTGTGGGGAGGTCCCCACACCTAACTTTTCCCTCCCTTTTTGTCCTGCAAATGGACACCTCGAATGGAGGGCTGGCCATTTTGTCCCTGCAGGTAAGGGGGGTTGACTGACCGATCTTGTACATCGTGAGAAGGAGCTGGTGACGGGAGAGTGGAGTCAGCTGGAAAGCTCCTTTTACCCCGAAACACTGTGGAAGCGCAACAAACAAAAGAAACCCATAGCAAGAATACTGTGTGGTCTGAGTTGTGTGTAGGCATCACAGTTGGCTTTAATTATTTTAATTTCAATAAAAGTATTTTTTTTACATCTGCAAAGATGAGAGTGACATCGTTCTGGACACCCTACAAAGTAAGGCACACATTAGCTTGAAATGGCTAATGTGGCCTGAAAACCGATTGTCTTCACAATCACTTTGTGGTTACCATTGTAAAGTATAGTCATGTATGAACTTCTAAAGTGACTCTGTACTTGTGTGTACTTTATTGCTGTCAAGCATGAACTTACATATAGCCGCTGCTGCTAGACACTTGGTGACAATTAGAGGTAGAGAGCAGCCAGGGTAGAAAGGAGTTGAGGCATATTCTGCAAAGCTCAGTGTGATGATAGCAAAGGATGAAGGCTTTAACACCATAATAGTTGTCCAGGAGTAAAGGTAGGCAACAATAGAGCCAAAAGCCTCCATGAAATAGGGGTACTCGCCGCCTGATTTGGTGATCATGGTTCCAAGTTCAGCATAACACAGTGCTCCTATGCAGCCACACACAAAATCACAAAAACACAGAAAGGAAAGTTGTAAAACAACATATAAGAAGGGACTTTCAAAACTTTGTATGAGTTCATGCATTCAAAGCAGTGGTAAGACACCTTGCATGTCTGTGACACTCGTATATGCCTGGCACACTCAATCGCTGTCATTATATCTCCCTTGCTTCTTATGCTCTCATTTTCAATCCTCTTCACCTCTTATTTTAGTTTTAATAAGCTCAAAAGAAATGGTTTCAAATTTGTTTATTTCTAAATTTTTGCATTACATTGCAGGTGCTTGTGCTTCCAGAAATATATGTAATATATGATATATATATCTATATAATGGGCAGCACGGTGGCACGGTGGTTAGCTGTTGCCGCACAGCAAGAAGGTCCTGAGTTCAATTCCACCATCAGGCCGGGGTCTTTCTGTGTGGAGTTTGCATGTTCTCCCCGTGTTTGCGT